GAAGTCCTCACCAACACTCACATTTGACCCTTTCAATTTCTTTGCCTTCGACATAACCATTTCCCTGTCTTTATAGTGACTAAATCGTGCAATGATGGGTTTTGATCCACGGACATCTGGTGCATTTACAATTCGATGGAGTTGTATGACCATGAAATTGCATTAGGCAAATCGGTTCATCTGGTCCAGTGAAACCCAAGCACCTGTAATGTACCTTCAAAGTCATATATTTACAAGTCAATTTTGTTTTTTGACCAAGCATTGCACACATTTTTGTCACTCAGAGTGGTAGAAAAATCCCTGTTCACAATGTTCAACATACCCTATTCATTTCATTACAGGAAGGCAAAACGGACAAGGATGAAGAAAACTGCAAGAAATTGAATGAATTTCTTAATAACCCACCACCGCCTGGGTCATCTGGAGGAAACAGATCAAGTGGTCTACCCTCGGAATTAGCCGCAATGGGAGGTATGTTAAGACACTATATAATAAATAGTCTGTCGGTTACTGGTGACATAGTGGTTGTTGCTTCAGACTCGTGATTGGTAGACCCCAGTTCCAAACCTACCTTAGGCTGAACACCAAGGATCGACCTTACCTTGGGTGAGTGTGCCACAGACTCAATAGGAAAGCCAATTCCACTGGCCGAGATTCATTCACTAACAAATGGGACTTTGGTGAAACCTTGGTTCAGGTATACAGGTGCTTGTGTCGGGCTTGGTTGACGCCAGGATAGCGTTGATTTTCAATTGATTGAATTTCAATTTGATAGGAAGATGGTCGCACAGCCCTGTCATTTAGTTCCAAACATGAATGTGACTTCTGTGGTAAAATTTGCACATGAAAGAAAAAAGTCAGGAGAGACAAAACGTAAAGAAATATGATGGCCTTTATGTGGCACTGTTTTGTTTATTTGTGTGCATCAAATTTATGGTCTCCATGCACTCCATGCATGTACATTTCATTATCGTGTATTCTTTGAGAACATATCTTGGCCTCCTACATTAATTATTACCACATATCCATAATTATTACCACATATCCCAGGCCTATTTTTATCACTTCTAATGCCTGGTTCTACCTCTGTTTCCCTTAAAATGTTTCCTTCAACAATTTCAATTATACATGTAGTCTAAAGGCATTTATAGGATACTTTATACTCAATTTATTCGTTTATTATTACATATCAGTACTACATATTATGCGACTTTTGTTAATTCCTAACCCACATTATAAGCTGAAATTCTTTTCAGGAGAGGGTGGATTGGGAGGCATGTTAGGTAACATGGATCAACAGCAACTCATGCAGTTGCTTGGAGGAAGAGGACTCAGTGCTTTAGGTAAGTGTTTAAGTCTTGTTATATCAACATGTATGAATATGAAAAAAATTATCCAGGTGAAGAAATTAATGATGGCACTTAGCTATTCTATTTAAACGCAAGTGATTTATGGCTGTAACCACCAAAAGACTGTAATTTTAAGTTTGCACCACTACTGTCACAAAATCTGGATGTTTCTACAAGTTATGATTACGCTTAGCTTAGTTTGTAGTCGCATTATGGCATATAACCATGAACATTCTAGAACGCCCATTATCCGAACTCAGGACAGCTGTGGTACATTAATGGCATTAAAGGTTTTCCAAATAAAATTTGGAGAGTGATCATGGGTATAAATGGTCTGACTTTGGTATATTATCCTTGTTGTTGGCTATGAATATTCATGCATAACTGCAGTGTCCAATGTTTATGGTACCTTTAATGTAGAGATGTAGGTTCGTGGGCACTTGAGTGCAAGTGAAATTTTTTTTTACTTTTTATTGTCCAATCAGTCTTGGCTATAGACTATATAATTTTGAATAGTCAAACATGCTCAAAAAACGATTTTAAAATATGGATAACAGGTGCAAACATTCTCTCTTTTGAATGCTTAGCAAGATTTAGCAAGGCTGTACATAAATAATAAAAAAAAAACATGGTGAAAAAAAGAACTGACGGGATCTCCATACTATGCACTATATTTAACTTTTTTACAAAACGGTAATACATTTAAATTTGGAACTGTTACAGCCATTTTAATTACGAGCGTTAGCAAACTTCTTACTGAGTAAATTGTTATGCAAATTAGCAATTATCTCAGCTTCTTTTTAGTGCACATCCCAGAACTTTAAAAAAAATAGCTTTGACCCTTTGTTTTGAAATTTTCACAAATGATTGACAATGTGTTTATCTTCAAAACGCCGTCGGGGCATTGTTTTTGGTTGAACAGTGTTACAACAATCGTACAGACAACTAGCCTGGGTGTTAATTTATGCATAGTAGACAGTTTTCAAGACGACACTTTCTTCATAGTAAACATATGTACCCGTAGACCAATTTTGACAGGAAACAGAGGCATGCTGTAAAAGCTAATTTTTTTTTAAATCACTTTTTTACCAAAAAAGCACATTTTTGTACATATTTCAAACTACAGTGTCCATAAAAAAAAATACTTACAAAATTGTTAAATTCATACAATAAGCTTTCTGAAAATATATAGTTTTGTGGACAAGGGAGGTCATCTTGGTTTCCTAATTAACTAATTAAAATACCTGTCAGGTAAACTGCATCTTTACCTTAAATAAGAAATGCAAGTTGATTTTTAACATCTGTAACCATGAAAGCCTCAACTTCAAATAACCACATACAGTGTGGGAAATATACAGACAGAGAATTGAAAATTGTCCTTCAGTTAAATATGTTTCTCTTGACAAAAACTCGAATTAATGCTTCATCTTCATATATCTAATTAAAGACCGACATTTACTACCCATGGGCTGGGCATAGCTTAGTATTCTGATTTGACTGATTATTCAAAGACAGCAACTGTCAATCGTTCATTAAATGTAGATAGTCCTAATCTTTTGTTTATGTTTATAGTTACTGATCTGAGCTGTGTAAAGTGAAATAAACAATTCATTTCTGGTGACGAGGCAGCTTGTTAGAATTCGAATTCAAGTCGGGTATGCTAGTATGCACACTTCATTCTAAAGTGACACGGCTATGCTGCAATGTTCAATAAAGATATTCAAAGACATAAATTACGTCACGTCAAGTAAATATTTGGTCTCTGAGCGATCACTTTTTACTTCAGACAACTAAGAGAGCTGTATATTTAAATAATATTTATTTTGATTGTCCTTGCATCATCTCAGACCCAGGTGAAATGAAAACCATTCAGTCACAGATTTGACCTCACGGGCAAGAGCGACTTGGTCACCGAGTCGTAATATTTTTGTTATCGTACGGGAAATGGTTAGTTTCGCGTCAAATATTCACGTGTTCGTGCCATCACCAGTGATCATGTTTTTAGTTTTTTCTGTTTTTTCAATCACTGTTTCTCGTGTTTTTGTGGAGCTTTTAGTCACTGTTCTTGATGTGGGTGAGGGTGACTTCATTTGAATAATTAGCTCCGTCCGTGCCTGTTTATATATCATGTCGGTCTTTAACTAATTTACTTGTCATGGGATATACTTTAGGTGGACTTGGTGCTCTGATTGGTGAAGGCAGACCTAACAGTGCTCAGTCATCCACTTCTTCCACGTAAGTATAAAAAGATCAATAATTGAAAACTTCACTTTGTCCTGTTGAGTCGTGGCTGACATTTGCTGTAAAAACACTGCTAGTCATTCTGGTTCCTCGCTTCCTTTCATGTCACGTCAAGCCATCTGTTCTGAGTTGTTATTGACTCCTGTGTGCGAAGCACAAAAAGGGAGTCTTTGCAGTTAGTGTGTCTGTCTGTGTGTGTCTGTTCCATCGATATCTCAAGAACCATTCATTGTTTTTTGATGAAACTTTGTGCATAGATGCTCTGGGCCAATGCGCAGATTTGATTAGTTTTTGGTAAAAATCCATGCATATTAATTACCTAATTTGCATGATAATTAGCTGATTTTTAGCTGTTCCATGACTTTTCTACTGATATCTAAAGAACCACTCATTGGATTTTGATGAAACTTGACACATAGATGCTCCAAACTAATGCACAGATTTGATTAGTATTGGGTAAAAATCTGTGCAATATTAATTACCTAATATGCATAATGATTAATCAATTTTCGGTTTTTCCACTGATATCTCAAGTACTAATCATCACATTTCAATAAAACTTGGTACATAGATGTCATAGGACACTGCACAAACCTGATATTTTTAGGGTAATATCAGTACATATTAATTACCTAATTTGCATAATTAATTAATTTTCAGCTTTTGATATTTCAAGTAGTAATCATCACATTTCAATGAAACTTGGTACATAGTTACTTAAGGACTGTGCAGACCCCTGATTAGTTTTGGAGTAAATATTTGTGCATATTAATTACCTTATTAGCATAATTAGTTAATTGTTTCTATGAATGTTCCACTGATATATAAATACCACAAATTAGATTTTAATGAAACTTTTAAAGAGTACTCATCACATTTCAATGAATCTAGAACTATGCAGAGACCCCATTAGTTTTTGGTAATTATTTATGCTTATTAATCACCTAATTAACATAGTTAATTAACACTGATATCTGAATAACTGATCATCACATTTGAATAAAATTTGGTACATAAATGCTCTAGAACAATAGACAGGCCTGATTAATTATGAGTTAAAATTTGTTCATATTAATTCTCTATTAGCATAATAATTCATAATTTTTTTGCTCTGTTCTGTTCATATTAGTTACCTGATTTACATAATTAGTTTTCAGTTTTTCCATCAATATCTCAGGTACAAGTAATTTTGAATTAATTTCTTTCTAAGCTTTCTTTGATTTATAATTAAGAAGCAAAATGTAGACTATCAATTCTATATCAAATAAATCTGAATCTTTGTGACACACAGTATAGGATTTTTATTTTAAAAAAACTGTTTTTGGTGACTTTTTTTCATGACTATTCTTCATTCATTCCAGCATTCTACAAAGCTTTGTTAATTTTTTCCTACTCTCTGTAGGCCATCTAGAACACAGTCTGCATTGGGGCAAACTCGGGCAAGTGGTGGGACAACTACAGCCGCTAGTAGTAGTGTTGGTGCTGGTACAAGTGGTAATGATAAGCCAGCCTCACAGCGACCGTCAACTGCAGCAGCTGCTCTCCCTACTCAAACACCGAAGCAACCCATTCAGCTTAGTGATCTGCAAAGTATTCTTGGCAGTATGAACTGTAAGTTGGAAAAAAAAGTTATATAACTACAATTATTAGTCTCCTTTCAGATGCTGTCTAAAGACAATGACCGATAGATGACCTTCGTGTATGCGTCCCCACTGGTATCTTGAATATACCTTGGCTGATTAATTCATACTTTGGTACATACATACATTATGTTACACATATGTTCATGGATTCATTTTACAATCTGATTCAGTATGACCAAATTGCAGTCATTTCAATGTTTAAAAATGCATCAAAATATGTATGTTGAACATAATTTAACCTTGATGCATATATTTATTTTTTTTTCAGCTCAGATTCAAATTGACAAACTGTGGGAAAGTTTATTTTAACAAATGCTGTTCCGAAGCCATATCTCTGACATGCCTTGACCATTTATATTCAAATTTCATACATGCATATACATATTGCCATGAAGCCTATTTTTCTTTAGCCATATGCAGTATCTGTAGGAATTACTCCTACTGTTTTTTTGTTGCTTGCAATTTTCACAGTTAAAACTTTATTGTTGACAAATAAATAATAAATACACATATCACGTCTTAGAAAGTGTTTGGAAACAAATCAGCTATTTGCATGCTATATCGTCATAAATACATGTATACATCTTTTGTCATGACTCGTAACCATAAGTTTATTCAATTTGTTCTGCAAAGATCATTTTGGCTTGGTCTTTCATTGATTAAAATTACTAACAAATATTGAAAACAACACAGCTCATGTCACTTGATATCCAATGTGAAATTGTTTGATCTCCACCTTGAATTATTTTATATTTGCAGTACCAGCTGGACAGAGTAATCAGTCTGAACAACGCCAGTCTTTGAGTAAGAAAACACTATTTTTCATTATGTCATACATACTGTAAGCCCTATGGAGCAGGCATGCATATCAGCTACCATATAAGATGATGATGTCTGTAGGAATGTTTATTCCTGCGAAAGTCTTACTAATTACTACAGAATCAGAGAATGATTGAAATGTGTCTCACACGCCACAACTGGTTTAGTTGTTTGACCATTTTCATCCATGTGAAAGTGATTCAGACCAAATTAAAGGTGTAATTTTTTTATTCTTTCCTTGTTATGAGTTTATACATTGCCTCATACCCAGCTTCACAAATGCTGTATTTGCTCTATTCCTATTTGAGTACCGCAAAAGTGTTATGAAGTAGTGGGACCACTATTCTGTGATTTTCATTGTTACATTGTATTCTGACAACTTGCAACACAAGTCTTGAGATATTTCACCTCGGCTGATCTAATCTACTATTTTTATCCTGTCATCATAAGCACATTTACTATCTCCAGTGTTATTATAAACACATTATACAAAGCAAACAACTAGTAGTGAAGTCACTGGTAGCCTAGTGGTTGTCGCATCAGACCCAAGTTCAAATCCTACTTTAGGCTGAACATTAAAAAGGGTCAACCCCTATCATGGGTGAGTGTGCCACAGACTCAATGGGAAGGCCAATTCCACTGGCCAAGATTAATTCACAAATGCAACTTTGGGAGAACCATGGTTAATGTCCGCAGGTGCTTGTGTTTAACCGAGCCTGTTTGACGCTGGGATATCGCATCAAATTACCATTTGATGGCCACACAGCCCTGTCATGTAGTTGCAAACATGAATATGACTTCTGTGGCAAAAATGCACTATGTGTCTGCAATTTGCACTTACAAAAAAAAAGTCAGGCAAAACAACAGTGACATTCAATGTCTGGAACTGTCGCCTGGCACAAAAAACAATTTAAAAAAAAACACAACAATTAATAATGACACTTCCTAGCTGACATTGATGGGAGTGTGAAGCATGATATGGGTCGTGTTCAAAAACTAAAAGCAGGATAACCAAAAAACCTGGCACAGTGCAATGCTATAACTCCCACTGATGATCCTATCGCTGAATTCAGGTGCACCCAAGCACCCAAGTCTACTTGAAGTCAATAATGAAATTAAGAAATTTATTTAGCATCAATTAATCTATAATCACTTCGAAATTTAGTGCTTCTAGAGAAAACAGATGAGAAATTAAATTGTGGTTAACAAAACATTTGAGAATCAAGAGTCCAAAGTAACAAAATGTGCATTTTATTTTAACTTGTGAAAAATATATTGTTCATATATTGTTAAAAATGTTCGAAATAATGGCATATTTTTATTTAGTCCCCGTTCGGACGTGGTTTGCCCTCTGTGCGTTCGTGATCACCTGTATCTCGAACATGCATGGACCGATTAAGTTGAAACTTCACTCATACATCACACATTATATGGGACATATGCACATGCATTTTTTCCATGATCCGATTAACGATAGCCGAATAGCGGCCATTATAAGGCCGAAAATGTATCAAAATCGCACATTTTCACCATTCCGGACACCGGATCTCAGTTATGCATAGACGGATTTTGTTCAAATTTGGTACATAGATTAAACATAATAGGACCTTGATGCACCTTTTTTTTTTTGGGATCGGGTCTGAAATGGCCGACTAGCGGCCATTTTGTTTTAAAGAATTCAGTTCTGGATCCGTATCTGAGACATGCCTGGATTGATCGAGTTCAAACTTCACACATACAAGGTACATCATGTCACAAATATGTATGTGCATTTGTTTCATGATCTCATTAACGATAGCCAAATGGCGGCCGCTTTAAGGCCGAAAATGCATTGAAATCGCACATTTTCACCATTCCAGACCTGGATCTCAGTTATGCATGGAGGGATTTTGTTCAAATTTGGTATATACATTAAACATAATAGGACCTTGATGCACAACATTTTTTTTTTCGGATCAAGTTTGAAATGGCCGACTGGCGGCCATTTTGTTTTTCAAGAATTCAGTTCTAGATCCGTATCCGAGACATGTCTGGATTGATCAAGTTCAAACTTCACACACACATGGTACATCATGTCACAAATAGATATGTGCATTTGTTTCATGATCCGCTTAACAATAGCTGAATGATGGCTGTTTTAAGGCCAAAAATGCATCAAAAACACGTATTTTCACAATTCCGGAACCAGATCTCAGTCATGCATGGATGGATTTTGTTCAGATTTAGTACAATGTGTTGTACATATGCAGGTGCATTTCGGATCAAAAAACTGAAAGTGGTCTGAGATTTCGGTCATGCACTGCTTTGAATGTATATGTCACTCAAATATGAACGGAACGGGGACGTGTCATTGACAATGACTTGTTTTTTTATAAGTTTCTGTGTGATAGTTTTTCAACATTCAATGGGAAAAAAATATTATTCTTTGAATTCTACATCATGATATTTTAATACATAAACACATGTGCTTGTCTATGTCATGTATGAAAATAAATAGATTTAACTGAAGGACAATTTTCAATTCTCTGTATGTATATTTCCAACACTGTATGTGATACAGCATTTCGTGAGCTGCTCTAAATTTGTAGGAAATAAATTTCCAGAAAGCCGATTGGTGAATTTTGTAGCAGTCAAAATTTCACGCATGTTCTTCAGACCGAAACTCTCACTATTACTTGTATAATCACAATCATTTCAGTTGTACATGTACAAGCTTACAATAAGACTATAATCATTTTATTGTCATTCTTTGTGTTAGGTATTGATTTATCCCAAGCTATCTCTGCTGACGTGATGGCTCCCATACTGACTAATTCAGAAATCCAGAAGCAATTGATGGAGCATTTACCAGTTGGGGAGTCGTTACCTCGAGATCCTGAGCAACTCTCTAGTACTCTGCAGTCACCTCAGTTTCAACAGGTAACTCGTCATTTGTATAGTCTTGTATTTTTACAAGACGACTTAGACATAAAACTGTGTCCATTTTCTGGACTCAAATTATTGATCCAGTTTGATCCAATTTAGTTGACCCAGGGATAACAAAGATTAAGCACCAGTTTAGCCACCTGTCAGAATTTGAACATCTTTCAGTGGAATGTTCACTGGTACAAAATTCCCCTATTTTCAATGTCTCACGAAATTCTATATAATTTCATAATAGTAATAAACTCAAAATTATTCCATGTTCTTCTGATTTATTGCTTAGGCAATGAGTTTATTTGGTATGGCTTTACAGTCTGGTCAGCTGGGGCCATTAATGGGTCAGTTTGGTTTAAATGCACAGGCTATTGATGCTGCAAACAAAGGAGGTAGGTTCCACTTAAAATGTTTAAAAACTGCAACATCAATCATAAAAATTTAAGAGCAAATATTTTTATGATAGTTTTCAGAATGCTCTCTGTTATCATACTGGAACAATAGAAAATGAACACCTGTATGGAATTGTAATGGCAAAGAGTGTTCAAATCTGTATCTGAGAGTTCTTTAAAATGTCTCTTTAGTCTCGGTAATTGGGGTGAGTTTACAATTATAAACTTTACTGTTTTGGGCAGAATAAAAAAATGTGGCAGATCCAGATTTCATTTGCATATCACTCGCTCAAATCATGACCCAGAAAATCTAATTATCATTTTGAAGAGACTTTAACTTTAACCTTTTCACCACCAGACTTTCTTGCCAAACCTATTCTTCAATATTTCTGGAAATGAAATTTTTGAGCCAACAGACAAAATTTAAGTCAATTTTCAGTTATTCTGAAGGAAAGTGCATACTATAAAAGGGACTATTTTGTGAATTTGTGATGAAAAGAGGGAAATGGTGGGGAAAAGCTTATAGCATACATGTAGGTTCCTTAATTACGGTTTTCAGAGGAGTCATTTTTAGCTCCCAGGTCATTTTCAAAAAGTAAGGCCTGTCGGTCAATGTGAAAAATGACACTGTGGTACAAAAATTTTGGAACATGCGTGCGAGTTCTTTTATCATTTTATTTGACAGATTTAGAAGGTTTTGCCCGTGCCATGCAAACTGTGAAGCCGGCAGATAAAAAAGACAAAGAAAGCAGTGATAAAGGGAAAAATGAAAAAGACGACGATGAAAGTATGAGTGTAGATTGACATTCTACAAAAGTTCATTACATGTAACAGTTCAGTTCAAAACTGTTCTGATTGAGTTAGTTAATACAATACATTTTTTGGACACACAAAGCCTATTATTAAGTACTGTAAGTTATATTTATTTGTTGTTGCATTTGTGTGCCCATGTCTATTGAAGTTTTCTTGATTATCACAAATGTCAAAAATTATCACCAAATTGTTGAATACACTTATATCACAGGTTCATACTTGTAATGTTCACAGCAAGAATAGTCATGTTTTTTTGTGATAGTTATGTTGCTCACCTATGATAATTCACGTGCTAGTTCAAACATAACTCAATCGATCTTGCAAAGTACCTGTATAGCATACAGTAGACAATATTACCCAAACAAATGTAGTTCAGAAAATTTAATTTTCTTTTTCTCCACCCCTTATTTTGTTTAAACATTCACATATTTTCTGCTCTTTGTGAATTATTGTTCTGTTGAATTTACAAGGAATTTGGTGTAATTTAATGTTATACAATGTAATACAATGTACAACATTATGTGGTTAATAAATTTGTTTGCATCAACTGCAACCAATCAGACGATAAAATAATTTATTCGGTGTTTACATTGTCAATATATGCGATTGGACAGATACATTGTAAATAGTTCAATACCCTTTGCATCAGAAATGCATGTGCGATAGCCTGAAAAGTTAGCCACAACCTTTTGGCTTGCATGATTTAATTAGTGAACCAATAGTGACTGCTTTTTGATTCACAGATGGATTTTGCTTGAGGGTAGTCAAACATGTATCAACAAAATCTTCTGGCTGACGTTTGAATGTGTTGTTGAAAAAGATATGCATATAGGAACTGTAATCAAGTTGTGGCTTACATTAGGATAGAGTGAGAATATCCAGTACAAAATGGCTGGCTCTGTGTTTCTGAATATAAGCTCACTAGAAATATGGTCTGAATGCATGATTGATATTTAGTCGTACACTCCCTTTTTAAATACACAACAGATCATATAATTTGTGATTATACTAAATATGTAAAAAAATGATTTTTAGCTTGCTATCATTAAAGATGACAGGCAGTTGGTCCATGACCTACATGATTTTCTTTTCTAATAACTTCTTGAAAATCGTCTATTACTTTTATACGTTATATATTCATATTTTTCTCTATTTTTCCTATTTTTGAACCAAATTGACATAATTTTCCTATTGACTGCAGATCTTCATCAACATTTGAAAAAGTAAGGATAAAGTTGTGTGTATATATTATGTGTGTGTATGCATGTTTGTGGGCACTTGGGAGTGATTTTTTTTTTTTTTTGCTTTTTATTATCTTGGCTATAGACTGTTAAAATTTTGTAGAATTGTGAATAGTGGAATATACTCAAAAAAACATTTTAAAATATAGATAACAGGTGCAAACATTCTCTCTTTTGAATACTTAGCAAGATTTAGCAAGGCTGTACATAAATAACAAAAAAGAAACATGGTGAAAAAAAGAAATGACGGGATCTCCATATTATGCACTATATATAACTTTTACCAAACGATATAGCTGTGGGTCCATAGCTCTGCTTGTGTCGATCTGATGTTATAATAAACGTACTTGAAA